GTTCAAGCATTCATGCAATTTTCCATCATATTTTCAAGCCTGGTACTATCTAAACCCTAAACCTTTCCTCGAGCATATTTTTGTGCTCACTTTAATGTATCAAGATGATGCAATTGCCTGATCCCCTATTTTTTCTGCCCTGCTGGGATTTACTGCTATGAATATGCTACAGCTTTTCACATGTGCCTGTTCAGATTGTCTCTGCAGATGAAGATCCATATATATTTCTATATATTCCACATTAGCATTCATGAACTTCTCTTTTGTGGTACAAAGTGTGCAAAAGTTTATGTATTGGTAGCATCCTTCCAGGTTATCCTTCATGTTGTCTTCAGGGCAAATTAGGGGGATGTACTGACAGAGCTAGGTCATTTTCTAATAGCAAGATGTCAATTCCATTATGTTAGTGACCATTAGTGGGCAAACCTCTTATTAATTACCCCTCAAACCGTCTCAACTGTAACCTGTAGCAGTTGTAGACTGCCACCTAGAAGCCTGGTTTTGGAGTTATCTGGTCTCTCACCCTGAGAGCACACATGCTGGTGTGCCACAGTAAGTCCCTACAAAAAGTATCTCAGATGATTGTTGATTTCTTTTGTGCTGGTTTTTTTTCTTTATGAATGTAGTTCTACCACACAGAGTTATTGCAGCAGCAGCCTGTGCGATGGAGATCTGCATTTGTAGCAATAAGCAGCACTGGAACTTTCTGAACTATTTCACTTTCTTTCTGCTTCCCACAACAAGAAACACAAGAAATCAGAAAGCTCTTCCACTGCTGCCAGATCCATGGTCAGCTTATGGCTGACACGGAGAAAGCCAGTACACACATACAGAGCTTTCAGGTTAGACAGACTGATACACCGCCAGGCTAAGAGCAGTTCTGTGGAAGAGATGGGAAGGTCGGATGTTCTCTCATCCTGAGCAATCCCAGAGTGAATCCAGGCATAGAGGCACACCAGGACACTTCCAGGAAGTCTAGCAAGGAAAAGACACGGATTTGAATAAGCTGCAACACCAGCATCCATGTGGACTATGCAGTTACAGAAGAGACCACAAGAGATTATAAATTAAGGTGATTAAGGTCTCCAGTGAGTTTACTAGCAGGTAGTCACCACAGCTACACAGGCACCAGCATCAGAGCATGTACTAGGGCACACAAAAAGACTGACTTACTTGCAGGGAAAACCCATCTCTAGTTTTGACTCAGGGTTAAAAGTTTCAGCAATGTCTACAACTGGTTTTCGTTACTGTGTGAAGGAATGTTACTCTTTTGAAGCTGATCACTCTGGGCATTAACAGCTCATGACAAAGAGCAGACCTGAACTCAAGTGGTATGCACAAAATGGAGTGCAATAGTTTTAAAGTTACTCAGGAAAGTTATGTTGTCATTCATCATGAATCCATTTTGTTTTATCCACTGCACATTTTCAGTATACTTCCAGAATCATTTTGATTCAGGATAAAAGGGCAGTGAACTCCTAACCCCTTCTCTCTGATGTCTCTTACAATGACCACCGAAAGTTCTGCTCTGGATTAGCTAAGTATGTTATCATTAAATTCATTAATAATTTTACAGAGCTATAGATTCTAACCTAAAGAAACAACTTCTCATTATGCTTATTTCACTGAAATTGCAGACTTGCAGAGTTTTTTGATAGCATTTATTATTGAAGACATCATATAAAATCATCAAGCTGCACTGAAACTGCCTAAATTGGCAGCTAAACCACTCGCACAGAAGAAAGTCCTTTGGAGGGGAAAGAAGTGACATGGAAATCAGGTACAACTTCCCACCAAGGTCTGGCTTTCGTGTCTCTGCAGATGTAATGTTTCAAACACCATCCCAGGGACTAAGAGAAGAAGCAATCATTCCCCAAATAAATTCAAGCTCATGCAGTGGGATCAAGTACATAGAAAGGAAGAGGTTAAAAATGAAGAGCTGAAGAAAATATCTTCCCTCACTCAAGGCCCTTACTATTTAATTTCCTTCCTTCTTGCAGCAGCCCCAATCAGGTATATGCCCAACTACCAGACAGTAACATATAGAACTAATTCCTCACTGAAATGTTGATGATCAGAAAAAACCCGAGGGACACACAGCATGAGACCCGAGAGGAAGAGCTGCAGGTGCTGATTAGCAACTCAGATGACACAACCCCAGTCTTCATTTACTACTTGCTTCTAAATCTTGCAAATACATTGATAAGGATGGGTGAGTGAAAATCAACTTCTGCTTTGAAGTCCAATATTTTAAAATGCCAAATCCCTTTACATTAAATATTTTGTGATACCCAAAGCATACATACAATCCATTCTAGCAGAACAGCCAAAGCACAGGCTGCAACAGCCTTTTAATATCTGGGACATGGGCATTACCTCATCCTATATTTCTCTTGAAGGCTTTTTTTCCTTCAAGTAGGTGTTCATGAAGAAAATGGTCTGGATAAAGAAGTTAGTGATTTGCAAAGGAAACCCAGAAAACATAACCTGTGCTTTGGGGCTTTAACTTCCACATGGCAGGTGGGTTAAATATCTCTTAATTTCATAAGCCTATTAAAGTTTCAAAAGTTGTTTTCCTACTTCATGCAGGAAAAGTTTATTCAAGAGCACTCCCCCACTTCCAAGCAGCTCAATGCAGTTTATACTAGTTCCAAAGGCAGAGTTTTCCAGACATAAGAGAAAGTAGGAAGTGATTTCGTGTTGGCTATACAAATGTGTTATTTCTGATCTGCATGCAAAGCCTGTCTTGCCTCCTAATTGGGCTAATGCAAGCAGGTAGGACATAGCAGAATCTCAGCACTGAAAACTTCTGCAGCTCCGTGGAAACACTGCCCCATTCACACTGCTGTAGAACGAACATCCATCAGCTTGGGGTGGTTTAACAGTGAGAAGAACACCTATTCTAGCTCCTTTCAGTGCTGCTACCACACTTTATTCTTCTTATTAAGGAGATAAACCTAAGTTTTCAGTAGGGGCACTGCATGTTTTGGCGAGCAGCCCCAGAAAGCTTAAGAAAAGTGACAGGAAAGTCACCAAAAATAGATATTCTTAAGTGTGGCAGATGCACATAACAGCATTTATTATGCCTGGGCAGGGCTTCAGAAGTAAATTGGAAGCACAGGTGATTCATCAAGCAGAACAACACGCATATGTGAAATGTGAACAGTTTAGAGACACCTGCATTTGATTTGCAATCATCCTTCCATTACCAAAAAGAAATTCTCACCAGCTGGGATGCCTTTGAGAGCTTATTGATATATGAAAACAGCCACACCATTCTCTGGACCAGTCATGCTTTCTATCTGTATAAATGAACTTTGCCTTTATCTGCTGTGAATTTTGGGGCTGCTGAGACTCAAACTGGCACAGAATCATCGAATCCCAGACTCGTTTGTGTTGGAAGGGACCTTAGAGCTCATCCAGCTCCAACCCCTGCCATGGGCAGGGACACCTTCCACTAGAGCAGGTTGCTCCAAGCCCCTGTGTCCAACCTGGCCTTGAACACTGCCAAGGATGGGGCAGCCACAGCTTCTCTGGGCACCCTGTGCCAGCGCCTCAGCACCCTCACAGGGAAGAACTTCTGCCTAATGTCTAATCTCCATCTGCCCTGTTTCAGTTTGAACCCATCACCCCTTGCTCTATCACTACAAGTCCCTGATGAGTCCTTCTTATAGAACCATAGAATTATGAGCATCTGAAAAACAATGCCCTGTCCTGAAGCGGTGTGCTCACAGGCCTGCGCTGCCCACAGGGGAGCCTGAGTGCTCTCTGTTATTTGGCTTTCAAGACCTTCTTTTGGTCACCACGACTTCCACTACAAATGTTCATCCCCATCCTCTCACACAGTAACACGCTGAGGCCGGTTTGCTAATTAGGATCCAAAGTCCATTTTCTCACACTTCAAAAGCTAAGGTTGGATTCTGCCTAGGGGGGAGAGAAACAGAGGAGCAGCAGTGCAGGAAATGGCTCTGCTTCCCCTGACCCCTGCTCCCCCAGTGCTCTCCTCAGCTCCCCACGCCATGTCAGCCCCGCACTGGAGCAGAAGGGAGATGGAGGAATAATGACCATTAGAGATGGAGCATCAAGAGGGGCCGGGGCAGGGTAACGGCCCCGGGGAGGTGGTTAGAGCCGTTAGGGGTGTGTGGCTGTGGGGTACACGCAGCCTAACCACTGGTCCGGGGCAGGGGCAAGCACCAGGGCAGGACAAGGTACATGTGTGTGGGGCTGGGGGTGCCCGTCTGCTGGTCCCCATCTCGGGGGTGAGCAGCACCAGAGCTGTTGTGTGATGCTGTGCTTGTGATGGAGGTTGCATGAGCACCTGGTTACGGGGAGCCTGAGCTGGAGCGTGGCTGCGTAGCTCTGGTTGGGGTTGGAAGGGACCTTGAAGATCATTATCCATGTTTCTGTGTGTGTGCACAAAGGGGACTCACGCACAAGAGTGTGCATGTGTGCGTGTGCGCACCCAGCGCGCTCAGGGTGAGCCTGTCCCTTTATAACGGAGGTGCACGTTTGGGTGCCTGCGGAAGGAAGCGAGTCTCTGCATGTCCTTGTGGGTACATGCAGATGCGTATCCGTGTGCGAGCTGAAGTGTGGGGTCCTCAAGTGCTTTCCATCCAGTTCATGTTTCACCCATTTTCCCAGAACTCAAGGGTAGGGAGCAGATGGTCCATCATCACGCGGTTGTCATCCCATCCAAGGGCCCTGGGCCCTTTCTGAACAGAGTAATTATAAACTTGAGAAACTGAAGGCCAAAACAGTTTCTGAAGACCCCAATAGGTTAATAAACTCAATTTTGTCCTGCTTCCTGGGCTTAGAGAATCAGTTGTATATTGCCTCATAGAATTCTGAGGTGGGGTACAAACTGCCATTGTTGTAGAGCTGAGTTCCTTTTTAAGAGAACCGGAAGGCAGTGTTGTGTTGAAAACAATAAAAAGAAGTTCTCTTAAAAGCCTGTTTAAATGTGCTTTGTATTTTGATATGTTTCCTATAACCACAGGGAAATGGCAGGCAAGAAGAAAGAAATCCAGCTCCAGGTATAGATTCCTTTTACTTGAACAATTCTAGAGATTAATAGGTTTTATTTCTCTCCCTTTTAAGGATGTTAAAATGTCAGTTCATTTTATTTCAGATGACAATAACCAATGAAAGCCAGTGGGATGAAATGTTGCTGATAAAAGGTGTAGTAGGTACTGTCACTATTTTCTGTTTAACCTCTCCTGAAGACAGGTACAGTTTTTCATACTTATATATCATACCGTCTTTAATAGACAGAGGTCCTAAATCTAGACTAGTACCGCATTATCTTTCAAAGAAAGGTGATATTAATATATTTGTAAACCTATAAATTGTGTTTACTAATACACAGTCTTCTATGATGAATAAATATTTGTCACAAGTCCCATTACCCATTATTTTATCTGCTGTTATACACTGATAATTAGAAAATACCTTTCCAATACGGTGTTCTGTGTGGTAGGGAGTCGGGCACTTCCATGGAAGCCTTTCCCTAAAAGCTTGTACAGACTAAATTCATACCATACAGTTATACTTAGCAGTAAATCTGTCAGCATTCTTGAGAGTGCATATTCTATGGTGTGTATGATCCCCAGTTTTCAGTTCACTCAGTCCAGTAACAATGTGCCTGGGTCTCCTAGGAACTGGATTTAGGTAGAGAGAACAAATCCGTAATGGGATCACATCTACACAAGAGCAGTAATGGCAAAAAAGATGGTCTGCATGGGCTCAGGGAGGTCAAAATCCTGTACAATAAATGTATAAATAAGACTGAGAACCAACAGTGGGAAAAGAAAAAGAACAATTAAAAGGAAAAGGAGTATGAGAGAAAGGGAGCTGTCTGGATTAAGCATCTCAAACGGTATTGAGAAGTAGGTTGTTGGTGCCAAACACAACTGAACTAAAAGAGGAAACCGTGATGTATCCACTGAATACATTGATGTATTTGTGATGCATACACTAAGAGGACTAAAAGCTGCATGTGAACACTTTCCCTGCATGTGTGTGTGTGTTCCAACACGCTCACAAATACGTTTCCTTCTGTAAGTTCCACAAGACGTCTGTTTTGTAATTCCAAACTATTCCGTTTTAGTAATAGATGTTTATCAAGCCTGGTGCGGTCCTTGCAAAGCTGTGCTGAATTTGTTCAGGAAACTGAAGAACGAGTTTAGTGAAGACGATGTGTTGCATTTTGCAGTGGTAAGGATGGAAAATCTGTGGGGAACTTTCTTGATCTTTTATTTTAAATAGAACTTTTTACCTGTCTGCATATACAGAGCTTTCATTTTACTGTCCTTATAACTAGTCATCATAATTTTGGCCTGGTTGCCTCTTCTTCTGCAGATCTCCTCACAAGACTTTGTTTACAGAGAGATTGGAAATGGTAATAAATATGGAAGGAGCTATAATAGAAAGGGAGCTGATATCCCACAATTTGTTTTCTTCCATAAGACTGCAAAAACATTCAAAAGTCAGACTTTATAAACCTATATAGGTTTATATATATATACTTACATATTTATACATTTATATATATACACATATGTATACACATGTAAGTAAATAATCTTTTTCATCTGACTTCAGGCAGAGGCTGACAACATTCTGGCTCTGCAGTCCTTTAGGAATAAATGTGAACCTGTGTTTCTTTTTTGTGTCGTAAGTATCTCACATCAGTTTCTTTTAATGTGCTGCCTAATTTTGCCTTATTTTTTCAATAGATTAGAGAGAAATGTGAAGCTGTAGAAAGCATATCTTTACATTTGACAGCACATAACCCAGTATGTACACCATCAGGTGTTGTTTACTTGAGGCTGTTTCTCATGCCTGATCGGTGGTTCTTAGGTATATTTGTGCTGTGGCTGGTGCACGGACCGACAAC